TTTCCTACCCTAGTTTCTCCTGCTCATACATCCAAGGATCACATTAGTCGTCTTGGGCACAGCGCTGTTACTGGGAGCTCCCCCATGACCTGCAAGGCTGTGAAGCCCTAGGTTCCCACAACAGTCGTGTGTTGTGTTGTCGTCCCCGTCCGTCGTGTTGTTTCATGTCGGTCCGTCCGTGTGTCCGTCTGTTGGCACCCCCCCCAGTCTAAGTATGACCTGCCCTCTTTGTTCCTAAATGCATGTATTTTCATTTGGCAGTATTAAAACGCATGGAGTTCCTGTACCCAGTTTACCAAATGATTCTGTTTGCTCTGTATCAGTGATCTGCCCTCTTCCTAATCTCTCTCTCTTCTGGAGACTTAATTGATTCATTACATATCAATAATAATAATAATTTTAAAACAGAAATTAAGCTGCCTGGGTCCAAGACCTGATCCTGGCAGGACCCCACTGAAAACTTACCCATTCAGTGATGATTCCCCTTTCTCGGTTACATCACAAAACCTATCAGTTTGCTATGTTTTAATCTATTTAACACGTGCCATGTTAATTTTATGTCATTATACTTAGTCAAAATGTCAAGTGACTTGCAGAATCTACTGAATCAGTGCTCTTATTTTCATCAACTGAATTTATAAACTCAAAGAAATGAGGTTTGTTTGACACTGTGTAGTTTCCATAAGATGTTGTTGATTTCTTCACCTTAATTCTTTATTTAATAGTCCTGTATGAACCAACACATGTTTTTGCCTGGGATTGATGTCAGGATGACAAGTGTATTATTACCAGGTCATCCTATTTACTATTTTGAAACATTGATGATACTGAAATATAATTTCTGATTTCTGTTTGCTACCCTCAGTGACCCCTTTTTGCCATTCATTACATCTAGTTTTCTGCTTCTCATAGTTGTATTTCTATTCCCCCTAATGCTGGATGTTGCTCTTCTGTTTTTCCTTCTCTGCCTCCTTCTCCTTTTCTAAATTGTGGTGTTATTACCTTCTTTTTCCTGTTTAAATTCTTTCTTGTAACTGGCTTAGGCTTGCAATTGTTTCGTATGGTCCACAGCTCAGGGTGGTCCCACTGTGAGAATCACCTGGGAAGACCCCAGAAATACCTGATTCCCACAGCCTGTGGAGCCCTCTGGCTTGAGAGTCTGGCAGCAAGGGGAGCAAGCTGGCTCCAAAGGCAGAAACCTTGGTCCCAGCTCCTTGCCCATCAGGGTGGCACGTCAGTTTGTCAGCAACACGTTGCATGTGTTGGCATGTCCCGTATAGAATGTGAGGGCTTTCAGGTCTGTGAAAATGCTGTCGTTTTTTGCTGTTTTTTCTCATTGCCAGACAAAGAATTTCTGAAAACTTGAATATAGTTGCAGAATCAAAGTTCAGTTTATTGGCTGTGTTTAGTGTGTTTTTCTTGAGGTCTCATTAGGTATTAAGGGAGCCTCCAAAGCTGCACCTATAAAGTTAACAAGTGTGCCCATTTATGTTAGCAGTCAGATTTGTAGCAGACTTCTGTGCATCTCTGCTGATGACTGGCTTGCATGTATAGAAGAAAGTTACTCGGATTTTGCAAGCACAAGTTTGTGTCTTTGACATTCAGTTTAACTTCAGGTCCAATTCCCATGTCTAAGGAAAGATCTTCTCTTTGATATTGAATTACATCTAAAGTTTTCCAAATCTTATTATTGATTCTTCAGAAGTTAATTTCAACATTTGGATATTTTGATGGGGAAAAGTACAGAAAGGATTGCGTAACATAAGGGCTTCAAAAGTGTAAGGGTATTTTGAGGAGTGTAGAAAACTCTAAGCCAACTTGTAATTTATTTTTTGGAAGAGGCCTCAGATTTGTATATGTTGACCAAAAGAGAGAAAACTGGACCTGTTCCTTCTAGCTCAGCCTGTCTTGTCAGTCTTGACATGATCCCCCCTGACCTGGTGGTGTTTCCTTGTAGGAACTGCCATTAAGAAACACACAAAAAAAATGAGTTTGGAGTAACCACTCCAGTCTGCGTGGAGCATTCTCGTCTTCACTGTAATGTTGATCCTAGTGCGCTGCTAGGTGTTGCTTTGCATTCATTGCCTAATTCTGTGAGTATACATTTAGTGAAGTCATTATTTGCCATTATATTTTTAGGGCTTTTTTATCTAAGTACAATTTGTGCCTATAGCAACCTGTTATTTACTTAACTCCTGGTGAGGCTGTTTTGATTTTGGTCTATGGTGCCTGCTTGATGTGAGGTGGTTTTATATTTTGGGAGGGGAGGAGGTCAGATTTTCCCTTACTTTATCCAAGTTAAAGAACTGAGATGAAGCATAACCAGGAGGCATATTTAGAATTTGTTATAGAGATCATCTCCTCCTGTTAAGATTCAAAATTCCCTCACACCCTAATCTTGTTATTCTGCTTCTAAATATCTATTTGACACTGCAAGATATTCTGCTTCCAATCTAAAATTGCTGCATCTTAAGACTAAAATTCTACGAAATTTTATGGTAGAACCCAAAGTCAGTTCATTTTTACAGTGATTTGTATCGTAACTTGTATTGATCCCAAGTTTGGCCTTAGCAAATCAAGGTCTTACTATTCTGATCAAATCCTTTTTAGTCTGACTTGATGAACATGTGCACACTGTGCATTTGACCACAGAGACATTCCAGGAAGCAAGTAAGATGACCATCCATTAGGAATAGTTTCCACTATTAAGAAATAAACCTGCAACAGTAGCTGCAATGCTTTCATCCTTGCAGTATCCAGTGTCTTTTCAGCACTGTGATGGATAAATTCAGGTAATTTAACAGTATCAAATTGGCCTGTGTGTGGGGCTTCTAGGTGTGTTGGGCGGCTCTTTCCTTTTCACCAGGCCCTAAATGAGTAAAGATGGAATTTGAGTTCTTGTGTTGACTTTTTATATTTTGTAATTGGGGCCTAATCCCACAACACTCTTAGGCACATGCTTGGCACGGGTAAAGAAAAATCAGGCAAATAAGAATAGTCATGGATAAAGCAATTCCAGATGGTAAGATGTCCAGCCAGGAGAAAGCTACTTCATCAATGAGAGCAGTAGTCGGGTAGGGATTACAGCTAGTGGAGGGACTGTACCTAATCTGGCTAATGTAAAGATATTGGGAAACCAACCAAAGGAACTAGAACTCTTGGTGCAGGATATGAAACCAGATATTCTCAAGGTAACAGAAATGTTGGGGAGGAGCAATCATGGCTGAAACAGGCACGAAAGAGTGCGCTTGCTGTTTAGGAAAGGCAGACACAAGGCTCAGCATGTTTGAGGTAGCATTATACATTGATCTGGTAAAGACATGAGAGCGCTTGAATGAAAATTTGTTTGGGTCGAACTTGTTGTGGAGAAGAATAGGAAAAGCTCAACTGGAGTAGCACCTGGGGCCTGCTAGACCCCCCTGGTCAAATTGGAATCTGCACAGAAGTCTCTAATTTGTTAGAGATCTATGAAGAATTGTCATTGAGAGACTAGGGTCTCAGTCATATATTGGAGAAGAAATGCTGTTGATAATGGCAGCTGCCAATTATCCTTGTGCACGACTGTAAGTGAGGTATTACCCATGGAGATAAGGAAGCATTCATGCAATTGTGTAAGACATTGGTGAAACCTCATCTGGAATATGCTGTATAGTTCTGGTCAACAGAAAGGGCTGCTGGGGAGGTCAGGGAAGTGGAAAGCTTATCTTACAACAGCTAACTAAAAGTCTGGAAAATGAAGGCTGTAGGGAAGGACATGATTGCTTTCCTTAAATAGGCTGGTAGTAGGGTAAGCAGCAGAGGGAGAAAAGCTAAAGGACAAATGTTTGCACAGAAAATGGATTTAAACTGTCCTGAATTAATGTAAGTTAGAAATTAGGAGTGAGATTCTGGAACAGTCTTTTAATGGGAATAGAGAGAGCAGTAAACCTACATTTTTTGTGTTTAAGTCTAAACTTGATCAATTGAGAATAGCCAGGGTTTGGACTCTAAACCCAAAGTGGTTTCTTCCAGCCTTGTTCCAAACGCAGACAATGCGAGCAGTTCCACTGAATTCACTAACTCGTGCTTGAAGCTAAGCATATCATTAAGTACCTTGCTTAATTGGGGCTTTAACTGATTATAAGGTACCCAGTTAGACTGAAAGATATGTCTACATGTGCAATAAACAGGCCTGAATAAACTCTGGCACAGTTTGCACCAGAGTTTATTGCTCCTGGGCACACTGTTTGTAAATGTGCCCAAAACCACAGCACGTTGAGCTGGGGTGGAGCAGCCCTGGCTGCCAGGGGACCCCAGGGGTCAGCCCACCAGCCTGAGACTGCTCCAGCCCAGCTCAGTGTGCTGCGGGGAGGGGCTGGCTGGCGCACAGGGGTGCTTCAGGGTGGGTCTCACTAGCAGGCAGCCCCTGCACTTAAGCACCCTGGTGCCCCAGCCAGCCTCTCCCCACAGCACGTTGAGCTGGGTTGGAGCAGAGTAAATAACTGCTGTAGGCTAGTACTTGTCTGGCAGTGTTATCCTATGGTAGAGTTAATTAGTTTACTCCGTCCTAATAGACTGCTCATGTAGACATTGACATTTTACTGTGGAGCTAATTAGGCACCTCGTGTAAACCTCTGTTGGTCCTAGATCCTTATTAAGGTGAGAGAGAAGTAATTATTTAGTTTATAGTAAAACCAGTCAGCTTTCATAGATTATGACGTGTGACAAACGGGTATCAGGTCACAATATTAACAGCATTCGAGGTAGACTTTAAAAGCACCACAGTGGCAGACGCAACTCCCTCGTTTAGACACGTTCAGCTTGGTTTTAAAACCTGCATCTTGGTCCGCACATCCATGTTGGGACTTCTTCTTTGGTTTCTTTCTGTCTGTCTGCAGCTGAGCGTGCATAGCTCTGATTTGTTTCTGTGCAAGCTGCTTGCACACCTGCTGCTCCTCCTTCTGGAAGGGTCTAGTGCTCCTCCATTACAGCTAAAAATTAAGTCCTTTCTTTTCTTTTAGAGTGGTTGGCGGCTTTGAGACTCTGACAGCAATGGAGAATGTTGACAGCGATCCAAAAACAGACCGTCCCAAGGTACTTCTTTCAATAGAAAAGGTTACCAGAGAAAGGAAGAGCCTTTATGTCCCTGGGTGCATTGTGTAGCAGCTTGTCGCTGCTTTATTTTTAAAACAGATCTTCAGGAAAATAAAACGTCCCCAATTAGCAAATTCCAATCACTTTTTCCTGTTCCCAGGAGGAAATACGAATTGAGTCAACAACTGTTTTTGTTGATCCGTATGAAGAGGCAGATGCTCAGGTGAGGATGAAATAATTTGTTTTATAGATCTGCAAATACAGGTTCTGGCCTGGAAGTTTTCGTTTTCCCAGTGACCCTAGCAGTGGCCCTTCCAGCTCTTTGGCAACGCAGACTCCTCCTTTGCCTTCCTCTTCTTTACAGAGGAACTCTGTTAATCCATTTCACTTTGTTTACAGATAAGGATTAAACTGCTGTGGCTTGGGGTTGCTGCGTTTGCCAGAAACATTATCTGCTGAAAAAACTGGCAATGGCTGGAAAAGAATGCTGGGGATGATTCCCCAGACACTGTACTTACAAGGGCTCCCTCTTCAAGGCCTCACAGTATTAGGCAGCCACAGATAACATGTACTACCTGCTAGGGCTGTGCGAAGCTTCGGTTGCCGATTCAGTTCAGCCGTATTCAGTGGCCGAATCTCCGAATCGAATCGGGAGACCCTTTAATCTCTCCGAATTGAATCAGAACCCTTTGAATGCATTCGGGGAGATTCAGAAAGATTTGGCAATTCGGACATAGATACAGCTTTAAATGTTTTTTCTACATACCTCAAGGATGGAGTGTCCCACAGGAGTGTGGGGGCTCCCCAGCACACTCAGCAGCAGACCTGGAAATGGACCAGAAACAATTCTGGTCCATTTCCGAGTCCACTGAAAAGTGCACTGGGGGTCCCCCCCCAACTCAGTGACTGGTGCTTTTTGGGTCTGGGGGAGCACCTGGGGTCCCCCTCTGGCCAGTCACCAAGACGGGGGAGGGGTGGGGGGCAGCAGTACACTCCCTGGCAGATCCAGCAAACACTTCCAGGTTTGCCGCCGAGCACATGGAGGGCCCCCCTGTGCTCCTGGGGGATGCTTCATCCACCCCAGCATCACAGCATTCACGAGCCGCGCCTGCTACCTGGAGATATGTAGAAAAAACATTCAAAGCTGTGTCCATGTCCAAATCACTGATTCTCTGAATTAGCATTGAATCTTCAGATTCGGATTCAGCCAAATCGAATTGTGGACAGTGATCCCAATCAACTAATTGAATCACTGTCCCTGATTCGGGCCAAATCCAAATCGAATAGGGCCCATTTCGCACACCTCTACTACCTGCAGTGGAGAGATGGCCACTGAAAATTCATTTGTAGTGACTCTGCTGGGATATGCATATCTAAGTGGCCCTTATAAGTATAGCAATGCTTTACAGTACTTCTAAAGTGACTTGCAGCTTCAAAGCATTCTAGACATTGTCTTCTACCCTTTGAACCGACTCTGGCAACGTGCTCTAATAGTCGTTTTTTGTAGGTTGCTGCAGAGAGAGAGAAGGCGCAACAAGAGGAAGCAGCAGCCAAAACTAAAGCTCAGCCTGTGGTGACAAAGAAAGAGACCCAGGCTCCCAAGACTTACCGGCAAGGGATAGGGAAGTACATTAACATGGCTGCAATGTAAGTCTCCTGCACAACTGTGCTTTGTTTAGCTTTTTGCCCTGGGAACTATCCTCCTCTCTGTGGCACTACCCCTACCTAGTGTTCTTGCTCAGGGTTTTTTGGGGAGATGCAGTAACGTATCTGATGTTTGCTTTATGCCACTGGACTTTGTGTGCTGTATGCGCCATAGCAGTGCATGTTCCATCGGGTTCCGTTGTCATAGCGGTAAAAGCCCAAATACTTTTTCAGAAGGGCTGACTTGGAAACAACAGTGTTGATCAACACTAGTGTGCCTGTATAGCCTTCAGAACTATATACATTTTCTTGCTGTCAGATACCCGTTGAAGAGGAGCCTTTACTTCAGTTCTTGGACAGGGCCTGAATTGAGGCTTTTGTCTTTCCCCTTCTAAAGAAGTTATTGATAACTCCAAAAGTATCATTTTTTTGCATGCACTTTGAGCTGCTGTTGGTTTTAGCAGCCTTTCACTGCTGTAGTGACAGCACAGAACCGTCATATCATGCACAGCTTTACAAATATTTTGGAAAAATTAAAAAGAATTTGTACCAGTCTTCCACAGATTTGCTGTCACATTTGTATGTTTGCTGAACATATGACAGTGTGCGGGCAGCTAACTGTTCTGCACGTACATGTATCAGTGCACGGTTAGGAAACTGAGGTGACGTGGAATGTTTTAGCACGCATGCAAAAACGTTTGAGCTTTTAGACATTCGAGTTACAAACCTTTGATGGTTGCTTCTAATTTAAAATGATCTTGGAATTCAGGTGAGACTGACATGGCTTTCGTCTTCCACCCTGTTACTGTGGGAACAGGGAGGAAAACTTGCTGGATTAATGGTCAGTGCTGGCTGGGCCAAGGAGTCTGGGGGCTTTTTTCACTAACTTTCTCCTACAAAAATGTGAAATTTGGTCTGTAATGAAACCTCTGGTGTCACTCTGGAGCATGTTGGCTACTTGGACCTAATCCTAATGGTACTTTGGGACCTGACAAGCTAACACATTTCCACAGGATTTACAGACTGTATTTAAGAGGTCAGGAGTGGCAATGTGCTGTTGTAGGTCAGGGTGAAGGTATGATGACAAAAATGGGTGGGATGGGGAAAACCTGCTGTGGGCCTAGTTGGCTGCCAAACCCTTCTGTTTGCTGCTCTTCCCCTACCTACAGAGGCAGTTCACTTTTGTGCAAACAGCCTTGTACTTTCCTGTGGCTCTGCTTGAACACCTGTCCTGCCTAGATGTACCTCTGTTGTGCCCTTAGCCATTGATTCAAGCCAGTCTTTCAAAAGCCAAGCCTAGAACCATCTCCCAAGGTGCCAAGTGGCTTTGCCCTGATGAGCTGCCCCAAATCTCTCTCTCTTCAGCATCCCAGTGCATTAGATGCAGTGGGCTTGGCTCCAGACTAGATCACACTGGGAAGAGAACAGGCTTCAGCAGCCCTCCTAACGGTAATAATCACTGATTGTTGTTTTTCCTTTGGATGCAGGAAGCGAACAGTAGAAGAGGATGGGCCTTCAAACAGTGCAGCTGTGAAGAAAGAGAAAAAGAGTGCAGGCTTTGGGGACTTCAGTTCCTGGTAGCACAGTGGGGAGCCTGTCACTGGAGAACTACAGCAGAAGAGAGCCTCCCACTAGCCCCAGAGAGCCTGACAGACAGGCTGTCCTGGGGAGGGAAGTCACAAGCCCACCCTTCCAGTGGGGAAGAAAATCACTGCTTTGTTAAAGCTCATTAATGCGGCTTTGTGTTCTAGAGAGCGACGTTCCTCCAACTGCATCTACCTCGAAGGCCTTTTTATTGTGTTGTTTTTATAGCCGTGGAGTGGGCAGCCCTACTATTTTTTCAAACCATTGCCTCTTTAGAGCCTCTTTCTTTGCCTTGCTGTCTGGCCGATAAAGCAGAACCATGTAACATGGGGACAGCAGCTTGCTATGCCTTTTTCAGGTAACCACTTGCAAATGAGACGGGTTACTACTGCCAAGGGCAGGAAAGGGGCAACTCAGCTCTAGCGCAGGGGGTTGGGGTTGGGTGCGTAGGTCTTTGCTGGAACCATGGACTCCTGGTTTTCCTTCACTGGGCTTTGGTCCCCTTTTGAGCCCTTGTTCTGGCCCAGGATTGCTGGATAGATCTGTCTGCAGTCCTACCTCCTAATAGGCTTATAGACTACTGTCTGTCCATACAAATCCTCTTCTCCTTGACCAAATAGAGCAATTGTTGCAGCCATCCAGTTCCCTCCAACCTGAGAATCAAATTCTGTGTGCCTGAAGGTGTCTCTCCCTACCTTAACGAGGCTTTCAGGTGTTGAGTAGAAATTTTACTATCTGATTGTAAATAATACATTTCTATTGGCATTTTCGTATTTTATTTTAGGAGAAGTCTCCATTTATACAGAATTTCAATAAAATCTTTGGGTGAACTGTTTTCATTATCATTCTTTGATTTTTCTGTTGACCATTTGCCTTTATGACTGTTGTTCAATGATCATTTTCCAAGACTGTAGCATTACAAAGGTCTTACCAGGAAATGATTCACCCATACTTTATAAGGTACTTACAAAGAAAGCTGAGCTCTCTGCGGATATGCTGATGATTTTCTGTTAAATTATAGGAAGTTCAAGCTAGCTTGAAAGAATAATAGGGATTTTTGTTTTTAAATATTTTGCGGTGCATGAATTTGAAAAAAAGAAACATCTGTCTAGATCTTGACACAAGGAACATTCTGGTATTTCCCCTCAAAACTGACTTTTTTGTGTTTGTTCCTTGTGGCCTAGGTTTTTTTTCTCCTAGTAAATCTTTGCTCATCCCTCCTGTTTGACTGCTATTGTAGTACATCTTTAGTTGCAAAGCTCACAAGTATTACAGTACCTGCTTTCCTTTGGGTACTTTCCAGTTCTGTTCTGTGCTGGCAGTGTTATACAAGCTTTCTTTCATTCAGAGATTTCCCTGCAGCATAGGTGTCCTTCACTGCAAAAAAATAAGCAGGTAAAAAGGGCTAAATATGAGTATTAGATTAGATGCTGGCAGGAAATCTACATATTGAGATGTCAGTCAAGCAAGTATCACATGGGCATTTGGGACCCCTGACAGCATACTGTTTTTATTGATTTCACACATTCTCGTTTGCTTTGTGTTGGTTTTCATAAGTCACCTTCCACCTCACAGTGCATTTGTTACTGTGGAAATAATCAAATTAGAATAGACAAAGCTCGGTAACGTCTATAGAAGCAGTATAAAGTCAGCTGTTTTATACAATAGCTTGAAAGGCAGATCATTGTTAGAAAGATAGGTGCTGATGCGATTGTAGAAGTGTATAGTACTTCATGCTGGCCCAAGCACTGCTTTACCATTGCAGGAAGAGCTGGATTTATTAGCACAAGCTGCTTAGTAAGGACTCCTGGGAAGTTAGGATTCCTTATTATGGACTTCAACAGCATCAGCTCCTCCATGGCTGCAGAGAAAACCACATGCCCAAGGCTTCCTGGCAGAAGAACAGGCTCAGGCACAATTATCTGAAAAGGTCTGTCCATATCCTTGCTGGCTAAATGGATAAGGGGTTGCTGTCGTTCAAAATAAAGTCTGACCGCTGAGAGCATAGTACAAGGCCCACCTATTTACTAAAGCTTCCCTACTATAATCAACAGTGGAGGTGGCAGGGGAAGGAGAAAGCAGCTTTCTGGAGCTTAGAAAGGGCAAGGGACAGAGTCCTCTAAGCTCTGCCCTGGGGACTGAATTTCCTTGTTAGATATTGGGCACTAGATATTAAGCAGCAGCCGTGAGGCTTTACCTGCCAGTCAACCCTAATCACAGTCTTGTTCCTTGCCCTACTTTTCCTTGTTTGCAGACACTAGCAAGTTTGATATTTTAATTGCCTAAAAGATCTTGGCACAGGTTTGTGGTGACATTCAGGAAGTCAAATGCTTTTCTTGGTATCACATGGGGAGTCAGCAGCTTGGCTGAGGTTTGAACAAACTTGTTTTCCAGCATAAGGAATACATGCTATGACATAACAGGGCAACTGGAGGGGAGGGGGGTGTTCTTTGCCGTAGCTGTGTGATCACAACTGCAGCAGCAGCAACGACTGGAAGTCACTGCTGTCCCTGCGTGTGGCAGCTACCCTCGGTGCCAAGCTGCATTCTTACACTACTGACTCTATGAACTACTTAAACACCCAACTGCAGTCAAGAGGGCCAAATACATAGATATGATTCCCACCCCTCTGCTTCAGACAGTCTTCCCATAGTGCGCTGGGGCTATTAATGAAAATTGTGCTCTCAGTTCTTCTAAACAGAGTTCCACAACCCAAAATTGCACTTTGTAGTAAAGAGATTAAACCCAGAAGGTGGCTCATTGAATTGAAATTCAGTTTCAGATGGGAGAGATGCTGTGCTTAGACATTTGTAGCTTGGCAAACCAGAATCAAAACACTATCAACTGCCAGGAGTAGACGTGTGAAACTACTTTTGCTTTTAGTTAAATCAGCTGGGACTGAGCCCAGGATGTGCCACCCTTTTGGGAGTAGCTTCACACAGATGGCTGAGCAGTTGGGATGCTCCAGCTGCTGTCTGCCAGCCCTCACTGGTTCTCCCTCCTGTTTTTTCCTTTCTTTTTTTGGGGGTGGGGACTTTTAGTCCTGGTGCCCTCCTGGAGCATGGATGCTGGGACTTGTCCTTTTAGGATTATATCTGTGTTTCTCTTTATCTTTCCTCTTGCTGTTTACCTGCCCCATCTCTTATCTTTTCCCTTTGTATTAAATATTCTTGGGTGAGAAGAAAGCGTACAGGGGATTTTTAGATGAGCCAAGTACAGTACCTCTTTTGCGTGTGAGAGACAACAGTAAACCTTTTTCACTTTGCATTGTGACAGAGGCCAAGAGAGAGTTCGGTGGGTGGGGAGTGCTTTTACTGCCTAGCCGCAGTACCGCATTCACAGCATATCAATAAGGTGTCTAAAAGCCGCGTACAAGAGAGTGGGGAAAGGAAGCATCAAACAAACAAATGTAATGATCACTCCCTCTCCCAGCCCTGGGAGGGGTCCAGTTAAGAGTAAAAAGAGCCTTGCACTTACCACACTGCCTGTGTTGCGTGGTTAAACAGAGACATTCAGACTCCAGGACTACCAGGCTAAATTCTCCCACAGTTCAAGCCAAACTTATAGCCAGATGTGCACAAGTCAGTGGTTCAAAGCTAAGCCACCCTCTCCAGGCTTCCTCACTTGACCAGATGCTGCCTGCCATTGTGCCCTGTCAAAACTGATTCTGGGCAGCAGGGAGGAACATCCCAGCTTGCGTGACAGTTGTTACTGGGTGCACACCTGCAGTCACTGCACACTGAGCTCTCTTTTTAGTCACTGGAGGATATTTGGCTATATTACCAAACCATTAAATGCAGCATTGAGAGAGGAAGTGCCCTAGACATCAGTGTCTTAGATCCAAAACCCTGGCAGGACAAATTGGGAGAAGGAGGGTTTCAGCACTAGCTTCCTCACCCCCAAGGCTTGGAGACTTCTTTGAAACTTGCATGGAACAACAGAGACTGAGCAGTTTGACAAGTGAGATGGATTTGCCTTGCTCAATAGGCCCTTTCCTGCCTGTCCATGATGGGCTTTCATAGGAGTCTGTGCAGCTCTTAAAATTAGCTTAAAGCCCTTGCCTCCTTGTCATTTATCTGTGAGGAACTGCTCACTGCGGACAGATGTCCTGAGGGGGGATGTCAGGCTGTTCCTCGGAGCACGTCCTGCCCATTCTTCCGTCTAGTTGGTGTTCTCGCAGCAGCTGATGGGGCAGGGACCGAGACGGAGCTGCTCTGAACTGCCTGGCAAAGACCACACAAGCACACAGCTGCTGGTTGAGAACATATTTGTGCTTCCCACCACCCTGCTTTGTGCAGCAGCAGCTTTTGTCTGCCTCTACAGCTTCACTGCAGTCCTTTCCCCTGTGGGGTGGCCCTGGCCAAGGCAAACTCCGCCAGCCTTCAGCATGTCCATCAGGCAGCTGCAAGCCAGGCTGCCTTGGCTCCAAACCTTGAGAAGAAATGCTCTGGCTCACGCAGCTCTCTTGCTCTAGCAGCACATCGCAGCTGCTGCTTTTGTCACCTGGTACGCAGCCCACCTCCCTCCGGGGTACCTGCCTGCATGGAGGTGCAGGTTTCTAAATCCATTGTCGGTGCTCAGAAAAAGCAAAGGACCGAGAGCTGATAGAAACCAGGCACAGATCAGGCAGTTTCTGGGTCCCCTGCCAAAGCACCGCAGGCCAGAGTCTGAGCAGAGCTGGCTCGTCATGCGAATGCTGGCACCAGGCAGGGAGCGTGCTTGGCTCGCTTCACCCATGACCCTCCTCAGACCAAACAGGCTCAAGCCGCTGGAGGTGAGGGGCACGTCTGAGTAGTCAGAAACCACTCTTCTGGCCTCAGGCAGCCCTTGCTGTTCATGGTTGAGAACAGCTGACCGGAGAGAGCCTCGGAGCAGCTCAGAGCTGCCTGTTTGCAGAGATGTAAATGATGCAGTCCTCAGCCTGGGCTTTGAGGCCAATTTCCTTTGAAAAACCATGGTCTGCATCCCTTCAGCTGGGATGCAGGCTACAAATAGGAAATCCGCTCTCCCTCAGCCTCGGCGCTGTCTTAGTAATTGATTTTCCAGCCAAGTCTGGTCTCTCTTAGCTTGATGTGCGAGAGCTTTAGCCTTTGGATTTTAAGTTAAGTTGAATTCCCACTGCAGTGACTCACCTGTTTGCATCCAAGGCTGTCTCTGAAGACAGTGGCAGGAAGGAGGAAGTGTCAGATCACCCCAGAGCCTGTGCTAAGCTTTTTGCCTTTGCCAGTAAAGGAAAGAGGCTTCTAGTAATCCCCCCAGTCCCCCAACCTCAGAACAAAATACCCACTCCCAGGGGAAGGTGGAGGAACACAGCCACATTTTGTGCAGCTGACAAGGCTGTTTGGAGGATCTGGTGTGAATTAATGCACTTTTCCCGCCTTTAGCCTTGCAGACTTGAAGACAGCAAGATAAAGGCAGTAGCTAGAAATATCTTACGGCAGCTGCAGTGTGGTCCTGTATGGATTTTCTGGGTGAAGGTGCCAGCGTTCAGTTGAATAGCTGCCCTCTTGGCCAGCTGGGACCTGCACTGGGAGAATATGGGTCTCCCCGTTCTGGGGCTGGGCTGCAAAGCAAAGAATCGAGCAGGAGGATTGCTACCCAGCCTCCAGCATTGTTACGCCTCTGAGCATGGACCTGCCCCCCCCCCCAGATGTTTCCAGAAACCAGCCATGGCTCCATCTGAACAAAGTACTTGTGCAGTTAACAAACGTGCCACCAAATGGCCTCCCCGTGCTTTCCCAGGTGTTGCCCTGCGGTTCCAGCCTGCACTGCTACAGACTCTTGTACGTCTGTGCTCCCGCCTCGGCTTCACCATAACCCCAAAGATCTTCCTGGAGCCTCCTGCCTTAGCAGGCACAGCCCGTGGTGGGATGGACTGGGCTCAGACCCTTCACTCCCATAGAAGCCAGAGGAATTTATGCTTGTGTCACTGAGAGCAACGTTCAGCAACTTGGGCGCTCCCTGCCTCTCCGGGGCTTGAGACAGAAGGCCTGAATGGCTGGTTTACAACCAGGGCTTGTGTAAGACATACAGGGGCCCTGGGTGTGTCAAAACTCACAACCATTATGGGGGAGGGGGGAAGAACCCCTAGCTGCCACCTAAACCAACAATAAGCCTGCTCTTCAAGTCAGCTAGTCTGTCTGCCTTCTTCAAGTAAAGAGCTGGAGGAAGAAGTGACACAGACCTCTCGCTATTTCTGCAGGTAGCGTGCTCGCCCCCCGAGTACACAAGTCTATTCTGATCACTCCTCCTACTCCGCTCTCCCTGCGTTACACTGTCATCATCCTATTTTACTGCACTGAACCGAAGGACGGAGCTCCTGTACATTTTTTTAATTTTTTTTTTTTTTTTTTTTTTAAAGAAAATCCATTCACAAC